GCAAATAATACGTTATAAACGTAATTTATGATTGAGCGGATTTTTTTCTTTTACATTCTAGATGCAACACATCAAGAAGCGATTTTGGAAGCTATTGAAGTCATCGAAAAACGCACTTGTTTGAAATTCATCGCTGCTAATGAAACCTCAAACCATTATGTAGCTATCTCTTCTGAATCGGGTGGTTGTTATACGGCCGTCGGTTATCAAGCTAAAGTACAGACAATGAACTTGGAAAACTATCCTGTCGGCGAAGGCTGCTTTCGTCCGGGCACTATATTGCACGAATTCATGCATGCGCTCGGTTTTTATCATCAGCAAAGTGATAGCGATCGTGACAGCTATGTCACGGTACACTATGAGAATATAACTCCTGGGAAGGAATTCAATTTTGTTAAGTACAGCAGAACAATTGTGACAGATTTCAATGTGGGTTACGATTATGATAGTTGTCTGCATTATCGGTCTCGTGCTTTTTCGGCAAATGGAAAAGATACTATAATACCGTTGGATTCTACGGCACGCATTGGTCAGAGGGAATATTTAAGTGAAAAAGATGTAGCTAAGATTAATATTATGTACAAGTGTCCTATATTGATTTGATGTTGAGGGCATATTTAGTTCTACGCATGATAAAAACATAACAAGGTAAAACCATTGAGAGGCAGTCTGACATTTACCAACAATATAATTTTAAAATTCAAAACTCAAACTCACACACACATTCTCATTTTCAATCTCAAACAACAACAATTGTGAAGAATTTAGTTTTTTTGTTCCCAATTTTTATGACAAAATATTTTTTTATTTTAACTTTTATTTCAACATAGATTGATTAAAAGAAAAATACTGATAAAAATAAAATATTTCGCACAAACAGGGTTGAAATTTTGAAATTCCTGCCTGTATTTTGTTTGTAAGTCAAATATTGGTGGCATTGTGCTACTATGATTGAACGGCCGAGTAATCATAGTCAACTTATGTACAGCAGTCGAAAAAATTATAGCCGCATCAAATTCTTACAAGTTTTAAAATATTATTTTTGTTGTTATTTAATTTTGGTTAGTTGTTAATAGTTCATTCTTTAACAACATCCGTATAAATACAAGTTTAAAGGCAGTGTCACACGAATTAAATAACAGTAAAAATAATACGTTAAAACTTGGCAAAAACTGGTTCGGCTATAATTTTAGACCACTGTATGTATTTTTATGACATTTCTCTCTTTTGAACACCGACTATAATGTCAAATGATGAAAAATCTTTAACCCTTTTCAAGTTGGAATTTACTATTTTTCATTAAAAATTCAATTACGTGCTGTGAGATAGTTTTGAGTTGTGTGATTTTTTTTTTCGACCACATCCATTTATAGATACATATACAAAAATTAAAAGGAGCAGGAACTACGAGCGTTGCATTGTGTGTGACAAGAGCCAAGACTTTCACAGTTCAAGATGGCTCCTCGATGAGTATGGTCGTGTTGACCTGTCGAGTTTTGTTAAAGCAAATATCTGATTAATTTACACATAAAAATTTCATATTTTTTTCATTAAATACAAAACTAAAAGTTTTAAAACAAGAAGATAATACTACATATAATATAATAATTACATAAGTAATATACGTTTATATAAAGAGAGTTGATACAAAAATTAAATGAAAATGTTTAAGCGTACCGTTGATACGGTACTATCGTATGAACAAAGTAACTGAAATAAAAAATTAACATGCATAACTGTTCCACATAACGTAACAGAAAATTTTTTAGTCAACCTAAAATTATAATTTGACGAATAATTATAAAATTATCAAATTGGAGGAATAACCTGGCGATATGAGGACATAGTTCCATGCCATTAAAATACAATAAATTACCAAATTAGAGGAATAACCTGGCAACATGAGGACTTAGTTCCCAGCCATTTAAATTTTAATTTTAATCTTAATAATACATTCTGACATAACTAACAATTGGAGGAATAACCTGGCTACTTGTGGACCATTAAATCACAGTACACTTTTTAATTTGTTATAACTGAGGAAGAATTGAAAGGAATAAGACGTATGATACATATAAGCAGAAACCTTTGCACGTGGTACTGGCCCTCAGCGGTACGGTTGCCAGACGCACTGATTTTATCAGTACAGTACTGATTTTTCAACCCTTGTACCGATTTTATTCATTTCTTCAATCAGTACGCTAATGTCCTGATTTTTCAAAATTTGTACTGATTTGTACTGAATTTTCAATTCAAACAAAATACTTTAGGAATTTCTTAAGGTTTTTACATAACGTTGGAGCTTCCTTAAACTGTACTGTGAAAAGTAAGAAGAAAATAATTTAATTATAGTTGGCATGTTTCAGAGAATATTTGATATGCCCAAGAAATTAATACAACAAAAATATCAATCGTTTTATGGGCATATCGCCGGGTCGTTACGTACCAGTTGCGATAATATGATGGAGGTTAACTTATTTTAAAAGAAGGCTGACGTTTTTTGTCGAGTGTTGCTAGTTATCTCGAAAATAACTTTCAGTTTAATAACTAAAACAGTTTGAAAAAATATGTAATTTTGTATTTCTTTTTCAATATCATACTCAAACAAAGCAACTGAGATGATCTTAAGTACAAAGTCTGCTTGCTGGCGCAAAGAGAGAAACCCGTTTCTAATAAAACTTTTTTAAAAAGAACTTCAAATTAAAAGTAATTTTAAAATGCAATATATAGAATTATTTGACTATTTAAACACTGAAGGTGGAAATGATCTCATTATTGCTATGCAAAAATGTCATAAATATAAAATAATTTATTGGCTTCTGTGTACACTCATGTTAAACTGAACAACACTTTTATTTTTTTATGAACTATATTTTATTAATATACCAAAATATTGTTAAAAACAACTACTCTGGCATTTTAAAGTATTACTTACATTCACAACTTTGCTTTGAATAAAAATGTACTGAAAAGTACTGATTTTTTTGGCAATAAACTGTCTAACGTACTGATTTCGCGCATAAAAAATCTGGCAACCCTACTCAGCGGTATTACCATCGTGTATCAGTGGAGCGACGATTGAATACAGCATTTGGAAAACAACATATTAAGATATACACCTTGAAAGTAGAGGAATAACCTGGCGGTGGTTTTATATAAACCGGCCAACCTACTCAAATATTAAATCATTTTTTTTTATAAGTGAAGGATGTTTTTTTTAGAATTAAATATTTAAATAAGAAACTAAACGCGCAAAAACATTGGACGAATAGAAACAAAAAAATATTAAAACAGTTTCATAAAACATTTATCTTATCAATGTCAAAATGATGTGTTTGTTGTAAACAAGGCGAATTCATATTACAACAAACACATCATTTTGACTTTAAGAAATACCGCGGCGAAAATCTAAATTCACCATTAACACCACCTTGTATAAATTCGCCTTGCACATCGCCAGTAACACCGCTTTGCATAAATTCGCCTTGGCTTTATCGCTTCATTTTCATGCCATTTGGCTAACTTATAGAAATTTTCAACAAGATAGTGTCAAATCTTTCATCTCGCTCTTATTACTACACCTGGGGGGAGATTCTGTAACCAGTTAGCGACTATTTTCGGATCGGTATCGCTTTTGTTGACGTATGATATGAATATTTTTACGTCAACAAGTACTATAGCGATTCGAAATTTGCCGCTAACTGGTTACAGAATCTCCCCGCTTGTTTTAATTTCACCGCACTGAAACTAAAATTTCGTAAAAATGCCACGAAATCTTTCGTAGTCTTGGGTTTTGTACAATGTACGAAAATTTCGTTCATTATACGAACACATTTTTCACAACGAATCAAGATTTTACGAACCATTCGTAAATTTAACGAAAGGAGTTTTAGTACAATTTATGAGAACTTTCGTTTATTTTACAAAATACATGCGTAAATTACCGAACAAATCTCTGTACCAATAATGTTGTATATTGTACGAAGGCATTCGTAATCTTTACGTGTGGTTTTAAAATATACGAAATCTACAATTCTGTATTCGTTTTATTTATTAAATACTTTCGTACATAGTACTAATGCAGAAACATGTTCTTTAAATTCGTAAAATATACGAATATTTTCATGCAATATACATAAATATGTACTAAATTGCCGGCAGTTTAATATTTCATCATACTTTTATGTACCGCGTGTCATTGCGAAATTACCTGTTGGCTGCTGTGAGACGTACAATATAAATTTAAACGTTTTATAAAGGATGAAAAATACAATAAAAATATTAAATATTAATATGTGATTTGGTTTTTATAATCTTTCGTGGAGCTATCGATGAACCGTAAACATTGCTAAACGTGAGTTTGTGAATTTTATGTTTTGTTTTTTCTTGCTTTTGTTCGGCTTCTTTTTATTATTGTTGTTTTATTGTTGCATATAGAGCGTTAACACATCGTCGGTCCCTACGAAGAGTAGCACATTTCGCGTGGAAGACTAGCACATTTCACTATTAGCGTGGAAGACTAGCTCTTTTCATTATTCGCGGTGAAAAGTAGAATATTTCAGATTTTTTTGTGGAAGACTAGCACATTTCACTATTCGCGTGGAAGAGTAGCACATTTCACTATTTGCGTGTAAGAGTAGAACATTTAAGGTTTAAAATAAATCATAAAGGCATAATTTATATTGGAAATTAAGTGCTTATTTTATATTTCTATAATTGTATTCTAAAATTCATGAAATTCAGACGGTAAATAGCGTTTAGTGATCATTTGCTGGAGATCATCCACTTTTTTTTTTAAGGCATTTTTCCCCTTTAAGCTTTATGCATTTCATATTGTTTTATGGTTAACCATTGAAAATTTGTTTTCAGTATGTTCAATTTCAATTAAAATAAAGTTCATGAAAAAAAAACATGTAAGCCCACGCTCAAAATTTTGTAGAAATCTAAAAAAAAATGAACTAATTTTCATTCAAATTTCAAATTTATTTACTCAGAAGTGTTAAAAGTTTTTTGAGTATGAAGCTTTATAGCCGATTCAATTGTAGTGTGATAATGTGCAAGTTTCGAGAGCCTTAAAATTACCTTTGATTCTTTTTGTCGCATTTGCTCCCATATAACGAATAAACACAATTTATTTTTATATGGAAGAAAACCGCAACAACGGAAATTTTTAGCCACTTGAAACTTTCACATTATTGCAATAAAATTGAAAGGCTTCAAATCTATATACTCAACAAATTCTGAGAAAATAATTTTGAAATTTGGATGAACATTTTTAGATTTTTTTTAGTTTTCTACAAAGTTTTAAATTTAGGTTTTTATGGATTTTTTCAGAGAAGGAACTTTATTTTAATGAAAATTCTTAAAAATAAATAAATAAACATAAGTGGAAAGCAATATCACTTTGAAATGAGGTGCTCTTGATATGACTGCATGTACATTAGGGTTGTCCAAAACAGTAAAGTCGGAAATGTAATGCTCTCACCCCCTAGGATTGTTCTATATAGAAAAAAAGCATACTCCTTTTTTTATTTTAAAATCAAAAAACATTTAGAGGTCGCTCAAAGCGATCAAAGATTTCCATGTATTTTTATAAGTATGGGAAAAAACAACTTTTCGTAGAAATGGTATAAAATTCTTGAAAATTAATATTTTCATTGTGGTTCTCTTCAGG